ATGACAGGGGTGAGTCAAGGCCTATGCTGATGGAAAAACCTTGCTCACAGTCCTGATTTTATCGCATATTTTGACAGCTGGCAAGAGATTGCTGCAACAGAGCATACCTTCATGTTCTGTGATGCAGAACTGTTCAAAAGACCCTTTTTGCCTTGTTTTCTCAGAGTTTCTAATCCAAAGTTCCCCTTGTAGAAGAGGAATGATGTCAGCTTACAGAAGTGCTCATCTTCACTTCAGAAGCACCCACCCTGTTTCCAGTTACATGAATTAAAAAGGATCCTATCGACTGCAACAAAAGTTGGACAAGGCCCCCAGAGACTGAGCTCAGAAGGGAAACTAACAGAGGGGAGGGCAAGGAGGCAGATTCTCCATGCTCATAAAAGAAAACACAAATCCACCTTATTTAAAACAAGTTCTTTCCACCCTCACATTTATTTTTCCTAAAAAACAGTCTTTGCAAAGAAATCTCTTGTTTCTTCTTTCCAGTCCAGTGGGATTGCTGCAAGCACTCCACAGCACGTGACTCCGGGGAAGCAGAGAAAGTGTACCACAACTCAGTCATATTTCCATAGGAAAGTTGACTCATAACTTACGTCATCCTTGAAATGCTGACATAGGTTTGTAAGAAACATTTGCATGTCAAGTCCAAGGAGCAGCACCACAGCCACCTGAGGCTTTAGCAGAGCAGAAGGCCCTCCTTTGCTGCCAGGCGCTGGCGATGGATTTTATCCTGCTGCAGCTCCTCGTGGTTTGGATGCCAGAGTTTCATGACAATTCTCTCAATGTTTAGAGCGTAGACAGTGTGTGCAGGGATAACTTCTTTGTGCACCTGGAGATAAACGTTATAAAACAAGTTTCAGACTTTCATACACATTCTCACATACTGCCCATGGAAGAACCTCCCTCTGCGACAGGACGACCAGAGAGCCAGGCCTACAGAGCAGAACGCAGGCTGTCACACGTGAGGAGAGCTGCAACTTGACAGCACAGCCACAGCAGCCAGCACAGACCAACCGCCTTGTACACCATTTTGTAAGGGAGTGACATGGTAAGGAAATTATCGTTTTGCAATCATCTTACGATGACAAATCAGAATTTGTCATCAAAAATCTTACAAACAAGAATTCTGTCCCACCAAACATGAGACAAATGCTCCATTACAGCTCTTACAATGCATGGTCTGCCTCCACAGCCTTGAGACAAAACCCCAAGGCCTGCTTGCAATAGCAGAGATCAATTTCTCCCAGCTAACTTTAGACATTCAAAGTAGTCTGAATGTCCCCAGAGCTGCCAGAGAGGGAGGGAAACACAGCCATGCATCTCCAGAGGAAGATTCATACAGCCTACCTTAGACACCTCCCCAGGGTTGGGTTGACCATAGCTAACCCACTGCAGCAGCCTGTGTACCAGGACCAAGTATTCCTCTGAGCACCCAGGTAGAACATGAGGAGTAAGGGATGTGACAAGCAAGTTATTTTGCTGCATCGCTGTTAAAAGTCTCAGTCTAGCTCAGTTCTGATAGGATCACCATGGTCTTGCTACAGAGGAAGAGTTCATCCTTCTTGTGTGAGAACAGATAGGGATTTCCTCATCAACTCTGACCAAGGGGAACAGAACAGGCATTAAACCACGAGCTGACTGTCTGTTAATAGTTACCTGATAGCAGGAACAAATCAAAGCCAAAGAATTGTACATTTGAGAGGGAAAGAAGGAAACAGACTGTAGGAGGAGAAATCAAATCTCCCCCAATGCATGTAGCCAAATGCAAGACTGGTAGCTGGCATTCAGGACAAGCGCTGCCTGTGACATGACAGTGTAACATGAACAGCTTACCTGTAGCGCCTCAAAAAGGTCATACATGTTCACTGGCGGGAGGGATGCTGGTAAGGTGTCTCCAGAGCACGCCAGGAGCAGAGCTGCCTGCTGCTCGGCATCGTCAGGTGGGGGCTGGGGGGCCAGACCCTGACCAGCAGAAGGAGCCGTACAGCTCAGAGGGCTGCAGACAGAGCAGACAGTAAAATGTTCCAGTCAAGAAAACAGCACCAGCTTTGGAAGTCACACAGGAGGGGCTTGGCCCCAGGGTTTGCTTTTCTGTGTCAGCTGACTTAGCCCTTATATATATAAAATTATTTCAACTGTAATTCAAATATCGTTAAAATTCCAGTTCAATAAAAATAATGCAAACTGTTCCTCAACAGGCTTCAAACCTGCTTAACTGATCTTGATTGGGCAACTTTTGTTATTTACAGCCAGTAGTCTCTACTCAGCATAAAAATTAAGGCACCTACAACATTAAATTGAAAGACATTAGCTGCTAGACAGAGTTGTTTACAATGGATTGTGTTTGTAGTGTCTGTAGTGCTGCAATCAAATCTTAAAACACCCACGACCTCCTGTCAACTGCTAAAAGCTATTACAGACAAACACAACTGCCTTCTCATACACATGTTACCAGATATGCAGCACAAGCTGTTTGACATTGAGACTCTGGAAAATAAGATGACCTTCAAGCTCTGCTTACTGAAAAGGCCTGTGAAGCAACCATCAATACATTTGGATGCAGGAAATGACAGGATGGCAGCGTCCCACAGATCTTCACTGAGATTTCATTCCTGTGGCACAACAGCAATGCCCCTACAAAGGCAGGGGTCTTCTGCCCAGTGACACTTTCCCTGAGAGCAGCAAAATGCCCATGTCACTCACTACAGCTTCCAAAAAGCAGTGATTACTAAGGACATTCAAAGCGCCAGGGGTCACCTTCATAAACTGATGGACAAGCACAGGCAAAGAAGAGACTTAACACTGTCCTAAGTTCCACTACTGAGAAAGCCTCACTCTCCCGCCCTGTTTGGCTGCAGTCTTCTGTACTGATACCTTCTTAGTGTGTGAAAGCTGAACACCATTATTAACATGTTCTGCTAAGTAAAAAGAGAAACTGAACCACAGACTAACTTCAGGACTAACAAATTGCATTTGAAATCAGCAGCGTGCCGAGAACTCCTTACCATTCAATTAAATTGTTATAAGCAACAACACTGTTCTTCAGATATGGCTGAGGGTTGACATTGCTTCCGAAGGCATACTTGAAATGGCCATCTCTCAGACGATAGGCTTTCCGCCTGGATATCACAGATGTCAGAATATCCTTAAGATGGTTCTGCAATTAAAAAAACATCTTATTACACATGCAGATTTATTCTCCCTACCAAGCCACAACTATGAGAAGGGCCTCACGAATTGGCAAGACAGAAGTAGTGCTGCTATGACCACAAGGGCCTAAAGACGTAAGGGAACCAAGACCTGGACAAGCTACAATATGTTTTCACTGTCTGATACAGCTGGATACAGAGAACATGGCACTGTGAGAATACTGTAGGCATTGGCCTGTGTACTGTACTTCAGTATGTGATATGCTGCTTCAAATGTTGAACAGGCTTCCTAACTACTAGGAAATTACCAACCCCCGATCTCTTAGATAAAGAGTCAAGAGATTTTTGTATAATTAGTACTAAATGTTGCACTTGTACTGAAATACTTGGCCCTAAACCTACACTGAAAAGCCACTTTTTCCTCTTTTTCAGACAGTTCAGCTGCCTGGAAAGCAATTGAGAAGCAGCTATCTGAAAAAAACAAGCAGACAACTGCTTTTTAATTTGGCCTCACTCCCAGATGGGAAATTCAGGTTGGCCTCCACATCCTTACTCCAGGAAATCATCCACAGATCAATGCTCCCAGTAATGGCTGTAACAATCCTGGGACATGTCAAGTAATGCACCACTGATGGCCTAAACCAGCAAGAGCAGCCCTTCAGCTGCAAGTACTACCCAATTCTGTCACTTCACTTCCATGCCAGACATTTGCACCTATTTCTCATAGAACTGTTTAAACTGGAGTTCCCATTCTGGCCCTGCTTTTAAGTGACAGGGACAGCATTTTCCAGAACAGCTACTTAAGCATGCCTGGAGTTCTTCATATGCAAGTCCTTCAAAATCAACATCTGCAGGCAGAAATCTAAGACCTTATATCTATGATGCCACAAATCTGGCAGTGCTTTGGTTCTCATTGTACTCCACTGCCACCCAGACCAGTCTCACCTCCACAGCATAAACAACTGCAGTCACTGCCTCCTCTGTGACATTGTCAAGCCCATGCTCGTACGCGGTCACGATCATCCTTCCTTCTAACTGGCCACGTGTAGGAAGCATCATGGTATGAGAACACAGCTTCAAATCATCATCCTCCTGAGGATCCTTTGCCACAAACTGCTGGGCTCCAGACAACGGATTCTGAGGCTGGAAACGGTGCTGTCATGAACACAACAGTAGAGCATAAGAAGATAAATACTCGGCCAGACCTGTTGGTTCATCCAGCCAAACATCCGTTCTCCAGTTGGAAAGCAAACACCTACAAAAATGTATCACAGTAGGACAAGCAGAGTGATATTCCACCCCAGGATGCTCTCCCAACCCCCAACAACTTGTGACTGAAGAAGTTTCTGAGCCAGTGTTGGTGTCCTTTTATTACACAGCTCATGAACTTGTCCAGCAGCACCCTAAACCACCTAAACTTTGTGTAGCCACAATATCCTGCAGCAAGAAATTCTACAGTGTAACAACACACCACACAGTCACCTTCTCTGGTTTCCTCTGTACTTCCCAGCTGCTGGATTAATTTCATTCTCCTGTAAGGCCCAAGTGTGGTCACTTGCTGTCCTTTTTATCTCTGTTCAAGCTTTCCAGGCCACTGATGATTTCATGGACTTCTACATCTCTCAGTCACCTCCTTCTATACTGAAGAGTTCTCATCTATTTAGTAATTTCTTGTATAAAAGGAGTGTATTTTCTTACTAACTGTATAGTTTCCCTCAAGATTAAAACCCATGATCCTAAGCTTTTGTGATTCTTAAGTGAGTCTTACATTGCTTTAAAGTTTTAAATGCAACAACTTAGCCAAATTCCAGTTCTGAATTTCATACTCTTGTCTCCTCATGCACTTTCAATACTCTAAGCAGAGCTGTGTTACTGAGCAGCCACTGATTCTAAGATGGATTAGGGCTGTTTTCCAGAACTGACTCAGTTATTTAGGAGAAGAATAAATAAATTTTAAAAAACACAGAACAGGAATTCATATCAGAAGATGGTAATCCCCATTTCCCAGGCCACAGATTCCAGCACAACGTGCTGACATCTCAAGCACTGAGTGCTTGTGGTGGCTCCCAGGAAGTCTCAGCCCTCAGGTAAACAGGGACAACAGGGGACGAAAAGCAGACAAGAATGCCTGATCCTTGGGCCCAGGCATGCACTTGGCTCAGCCTCAGCCCACAAGGAAACAGCATGGCCCTGGTGCATCAAGTACTCCCACAACTCCTGTCCCTCCGCTCACCAAGTCACAAATCCAGTGACTCTGCAATGAAGGGGTCTTATGGGGCATGAAAACAGACACACTAATTATAAACACTGAATATACAGCAAAGCTGATTTCTCACATCTTGGTTTCAAGAGAGGAAGGGGGGCTGCTTTATTCAAAGGACAGTGTGGCATTTAAGTCAGAGTGAAAACCAATCCACCCACTAATGATGTGAAAGCAGGTTCCCTCCCCGTAATTCTGAAGACTTATGCTTTCATTACAGGAAAGTCTGTGTGCCTGGAAAAAAAATAGAAGTTAAAAAAAACCTTCAAAATACAAGCCATTCTTATAAGGAATCTGGTTTGGGAGAGCAGAAGCCCACTGGAATGAACCTGTGGTCGTTCACAGCTGGTGTTCTGACCAGTGAGGGAAACATCAATTTCACACTACTTGGGAATGCCACTCCTAATAGACAAGCCCACTAACCATAACATATGCTTACTACCAAGCATGCCAGGAACACTTATATAAACACACACTAGAAATGTTGTGCAACATAAGGGTATGCGAGCAAACCAAATTCCAAAACCTCCACTATGTCATGAACTGCTTCTCAAACTCATCTACTGAAAAATAACAGAGTCTGCCATCAGAATTCAGGTTGCAGCTGTGAACACCACAAAGTGTTTCAGTAGTTTCTAAATCCAACAAGCCTGCAGCTGAACTCTCACCCCTGTGAAACACCAGTCTCTGAAGCACAGAAGTGTAACTGCTAATTACAGTCCCTAGAAGCGTGGTGTGTGCTTCGGCTGAGCCAAGCTGGCTTCTCTCAGTGTAGGAGCGGGAGTTTCACACATCCACATCTCTCCCCTATCCCCAGCCATTCTGCCCCTCCTCCCTTTGTGCTGGCTTTGGCATTCATCCAACCACAAGGAACACTGATCCAGCTGAATAAACCAGCAACAAAAACTTGGGGTTTGAGGTTTTTCTTTGCTTGGTTAGTTTTCTGTCTTTCTTGTCAGAGAAATGAACCAGATCACAGCGTGCTCAGACACCTGATAAATCTGGCTCAGTAAGTGACACTCTCCCTTTCAACAAACTCTTCATCCAGTTTGAACCATCTCATCAAACACTGCCTGTGGGGGGCAGTGCCCCATCCCAATCCTCTTTCACACCAGTCCCCACCCCACTACTGGTCTGGCAGCACAGAAACAGCTGTAGAACAGGCAGGACAGTAGCAGATGGAGGTACAGAGCCTTCACTGTAAAATTAACTGCATCTTGTGCATTTCTCTGCCACATAACCAGAAGACAGCATCTTTGCAAAGCATTTTCAATTCTGAAACAGCTTCACCCTCTAAAAACACTCCACCCAAGGAACAACTAACTTCTAACACTTCAGACTGTAGAGCTCTGCGGAGCTGATCCTATAATCACAGAATTCTGCCTGACTGCCTGAATAAATGGGAAGTCACTTTTGCCTCAAGAATTCCACAAGAGAGGCAGCAGCTACTAACCCCCAGCTCCTGCACCAATCCAGAACTCAAAACAAATATAACATACATCACTGCATGTGATGGACTTTCATCACCCCTACTAGTAACAACACATGCGTGCTGTGCAGAGCTCTTCACCCCCAAGAGAACGTCAGAGACACAACCACTTGACTGTGGACACTTACATCAAACTTCTGTCGAACTGAAGAAATCTTTTTCTTCCCTTTGGGTTTTCCAGGTTTAGTTGCAGAGCCACCTGGCCATGGCAGAGATCCAGCACCTTCTACAAATTGAAAAGAACAACAAAAAAAACAACATTCAATGGGTGTTGCTGATTTAGGGCCAGGATAAAACTGTCCATACAGGTAATGCTTGGTCCCCAGCTAAGCCTTAACCCAAAATCAACAGCTATGGCCCAGAGGAAGGGCTTTTCAGGGAAGAACACTTTTGGCAGCCCTTTCCCTCTTTTGTCAGCCCCCTGCCAGCTTGATTCATTTGTGATCCATTGGAACTTCTGTCCACCCACCACACAAAACCCATGGCGGAAGGAGAGATAAGCAGAGCCTCCAAGGAAAGCCACAAGGAAGGAACACACCATTTGTTGCATCAGGAAGATGACAGGAGCTCACCTGGAGGGGAATTCTACTCCCACCAACTCCTGGATCAGGTCAGATGCTAACCAGCAGGATCAAGCAGTCTGACTCATTACATCTGCCTTCACAGCTCCCCATCAGCTTTAGCACGCTGTCTCAGAGCCCCGTTAAACATTGCGGCTGATCGTTCTTGTTACACTGAGGGGGAAAGAACCGCAAAGGCAGCTGAACCCAGGAGCAGGACACCACCACCAAGAGCAGTGAGTGACTGACCAGAACAGGCAAGCAGCTGAAAGAGAGATTACTGTACAGTACAAATAAATTAATACATTTGGTCAAATCACCTTGAGGAAGCTGCTCAAAAGCCTACTGTACACTGTTTGACAGCTGTACCTACAGCAGGCCAAGTTACATCCTAGTAATCATACAGCCTTTAGCAAGGACAGCTTAGCAGATTTCCCACTGATGGGTTTACAGTATCTGTGCACAACTCCTTCACTGGGGCTTAAAACCACGTCGCACTGGATGCAGATGCGCTTGCTGACAGTGAACAAGAAGTGCAACCCTAAGACTGGACAGCCCTCTTGTGGCTAGAGGCAGTCTCTGCTGCGTGTCACCACTGTCCCTGGTTGCACACAGCAAGCCAGGACCCTTTTCCCCGTGGAGCAAAGCATGCCCTGTGCTGAGGTTCCTGTCCACCTCCAGGGACCTCCGACAACTCAGCTCCGAGAGTACTTCAGCTGCCTCCAAAGGGGAGGCTGGAGCTCTGCTGCTGGCAAGCAGTGCTGACAGCACAGCAACGTCTCAGATGTCCCCTGGCCACACCTGAGCCAGCGTTTGCCATTTCCTCCAGACATGGACAAGAAATGACAGCAGCCACACCAGACTCAGCATCCAGCCAGCCTCAGGCACGTTCACCGAATACAGCCAGCCAGCCAGTTCTGGTTCTCTCCCGTTACACCAACTTCACACCAACCAGCATGTTTACCTCCAGCTCTCCCAACTACACTTAATTTGTGTAATCAGGAATTCATAAGTACAGTTACACTGCAGCCCTGTTCATAGGGAACGAGGCTGGCTGGAAGCCCTTGGCTATGTGGAGCTTCCTACACTCATGGTTGGAGCATAAGCACAGTGTCCTCTGCCTTGAAAAAAGCCTTACAAACATGACTTCAGGGATCAGGCTAAACCAGAGGATTCAGGTGAAGTTTGTGAATGGTCAACTGCTAAGAAGGGCTTAGAAACAACCTACACACACAACACACAGATGGCATGCTCTCCCTATTAAAAAAAATAAATTAAAAAATTTAGCTACATCTTACTAGTGAAGTGAAAACCAATAGTCTACAACGAACCCTGCTGCCAAAATCCACCAGTGAATCATAGGAAGTTAAAAGACAATAAATAAACCTTCTTCAAAACTCAAAGCTGGTGTCAGTATTCATCACCGCAACATCACAGTAGAGGCCTAACAACGGGGTGTGGGAAAGCACCACGGACAATCATCCGAAGGACTGCTCTTGCCCTTCCTTGAGGTCTCAGTACATACAGCTTAGGCTCTATCAATGTAACGCTACTCCTCACACAGGATGTTTTGCTCTTTACAGAGGAGTCCTTTCTGCCTCCTCCTCCTCTCCTCCATAGCAGGTCAGACTCTTTCTAGGCAGAGTGGATTAGGTGTGTTCAGGACAGACACAGAAGTTACTCAGCCCATTTCAAAGCTTTCAATAAAAGCACATCTCTCTGGCTCATAACAGCACCCCCAGGCCCTTCCTCCTTGGCAGAAGCCTCACATAGCTCCTCCACAGCCTCACTTATGAGAGTCCCCTCAGCAAACTGCATGACTGGGTGGTAGAGACGGGGACAGAGAAAGCAACCACTGTCATTTTATCTGATAATGTATTAGAGATGAATGTTATAGCAGAGTCCAAATTCAAAAAATGCCTTATTTTAAAAAGTAACATAGTAACTTTAACTGAACAGCAGCTACATTTTTAGCTTTTAACAGCAGACCTTGAATGATGCAACTTAATTGAACTCAACCTGCACATTTAACAAAAACTTAGCTAGACTTCGAACCAGGGAAAGGTGAGATACTATCTCCTACTCCCCATTATAAAGAGCCCAGAGCAGAATATTTTTGGCTTCTTTTGCAGATTTTCATATTACCAAGCCCGACTTGCACTAGATGAAGACAGCAGAATTTCCCTCCAGCATTCTAAGAAAACCAGTTCTTGCCTTCCTGGCCATAAACGCCAAGGCTGGGTTGGCTCAGCCATGAAACCAGAGATGTTAACAGGTTTTATGGAGTCTTGCTAGCAACAGAATCAGATGTTAACAAGTCACAGCAATGTCTGCTGTTACGCCTTCAAAGATGAGCAACAGATAATGTTTTTCTAAGAGCACTTCTCTGCAATGGCACCAGAATGTGCCAGGTTTTCCTGACGTGTTGCAGCAGCACTGCACAGGAGTAACGCACAGACACAAACAGAGAAAGTCACAACAGAGAAAAGCAGCCAAGCACAGGAAACTTGCATTTTTCCACCCTTGTTTATTTGACCTGCAGTTGAGGTTTGTGTGTGTGGTTTTGTTTGGTTTGTTGGTTTGTTTGTTTATTTATCTTCTTGCAAGGACAAGGGTTTAGTCAAATATATTCTGATGGCCTTCCTCTACCAACAACTCTCCCTCCCATTTTCTTCCCTTTCCTCCCTTCCCAGCTCTCTGGAGAGAAGTGGAACATGAGCAGCCTGAGCCCATCTCACAGCTGGCAGCCCTTCAAGCACAGCCTGTGGGCAACTCTGATATAATAAAATGTTCCTGCTATCCCAGCAAGAGTTTTAATTCGCTGAACCATCTCTTACTTGGCTCCAGATCACTAGTAAATAAATTAAAACCTTGCATCACTAACTGAAGTGCTTGCAATTGTCTGCTTGACTGTTAACATTTAGCTAAGGAGGGAGGTGACAGTTCCAAGTGAGGTATTAACTCAAGAGACTTGGCTAACTTACTTGCCTGCAACGATAAGCTTAGCAAGCAAGTCCATGCAATGTTAAGAAAGGCTTTAAACTTGAGTTCCTCTTAATGGAATTTGTGAGGGAATAAAAACCCCAGACATGAAAATTCAGAAAAGCACTTCTGAAAATATTGGGGGAAAAAAAAAAAATGTATCACAGAAAACCACTTTCTTGTAATGTGAAAGGTGCCACACCACTCAGGCTGGTACAGCCAGCCTAAAACTAACATTAAGTCTCTCTCTAGTATTCTGGATGGCACGTTTCTGGGATGTCCCTCTCTTTTCAGGCACTTTTCCAGCTATGTGCCACTTGAGTATTTATGGATGTCTTTACACACATGGCTGCCAGAGGGAACAGCATCACCCATTTTTAAAAAGGGCAGAGAAGTCTGACTTAGGATGCCTCAGGATCCTCCTGTGCCCTCAGTGGGAGCTCAGCAGCAATTAAAGAACCTAGAATGACTCTTCCTCCCACTCCACCAAGTCCTAAATATCCCACCCATGCCACACAGGCTGAACTGGGGCTTGAAGTCTGCAAGACCAACAGCCTAAGCAGGTGAGGGGTGGAAATGGAAAGTGTTCTCACAAAGGGTCCCATTCACCCAGCATTCCCTTGCACGCCCAGGTGGAACCACTACCACCAGAGGTAGCAAGATCTGGATCAGATGGGTTTGTCTGCATGATTCAACATTGTTACAATTGCTCCTTAAAAATACCTTCTCCAAGGTTTCCTATTTCAAATCCAGAGTATCAAGCATGCTTTTAAGGCTGACCACACCATTATTTTAAAATGCAAACTGAGATTTTAAAGATGGTTCTTCCCCCTTGTCTCTCACACAAAGGCGGAAAGTACACGCAGCAGCAACCCTTGTGATGGTGTGCCAAGTGCATCAAGCACACGTCTTTGAAGTCGTTTCCATGAATCATGAAGTAAACAGCCTCTACCCACAACACCATGGTGGAGACAAAAGCCTGTTATAGTGTTCTATTCCTGCACTGGGGGGGGGGAAGATAAGACAGCAAAACATCAGCAGGTGTCAAGACCGGCATCTAGGGGGAGAAAAAGAAATCCATACACAGCACCTTGTATTCCACTGGTACTGCACTTCCCTGAGTTTGCATGTACAACCCGCGACGCCACACAGAGCAAACAGGCTCTAACCTGACTACTGCCACTCAGAAGCAAGACCTTTGGGCTACAACCTCTGTGCCAACACTCACATCAGCCCACCGCAGATAACACAGCCACCCTCCCCCTCCTAATTTAGACTCAGGTACTTCAGGGGATATTCACAGGGGAATCGCTGTTCTCATGCATTCTTTTTATAGTCCAGCTGCAAGTACTCTAAGTCAGAAGCAAGGAACAGCAAGATTGAGACATAAATCTTCTAAATTACATGAGTGCAGACCACTAAAGAGGACTCAGCACGTGTTTGTAACATTCAAGAGCAAACGTGGCAAGTTTGGAGGTTGGGCAGGTCAGTATTTAATTCGCACAGCTGGTACAGTTAAGGACCAACTACAACACAAAAAGCTGTGGGTATCCATAAATTCTGCATTTTCCTTTCTCCAGCTACATCACGTACTCTAACAACAGGTATTCCCTCATCGCAGAAAGCTTGGGTAGTGGGTTTGTGTGGCAACGTTTTGGTAGCATGGGGGTTACAGTGATGGCTTCTGTGAGAAGATGCCAGAAGCCTCCACTTGGAAGCTACATTATTATGTTAATAAATAAAGGGGGGGAACTGCTGTGGAACAGTGTGGGAGTGAGGAGCAAGAATATGTGAGAGAAACAACTCTGCAGATACCAAGGTCAGTGAAGGAGGGGGAGGAGGTGCTCGTGGCCCTGGAGCAGAGATTCCTCTGCAGCCCATGGTGAGGAAGGCTGTTCCCCTGCAGCCCATGAAGGTCCATGGTACAGCAGAGACCCACCTGTGATGTGTGGAGGACCCCACACCAGCACAGGAGCATGCCTGAAGGTGGCTTCCCCCATAGGAAGCCCACATTGGAGCAGACCCCTGGCAGGACCTCTGGACCCGTGGAGAGAGGAGCCCATGCTGGAGCAGGTTTGCTGGGAGCACCTATGACCCCGTGGGGGACCCAAACTGGAGCAGTTCATGGAGGACTGTTTCTTGTGGGAGGAACCCCTCACTGGAGCAGGGGAAGCATGCGAGGAGTCCTCCCCCTCAGGGGGAGGAAGGAGCAGCAGAAACATTGTGTGATGAACTGACCACAACCCCCATTCCCCATCCCCCTGCATCGCTGGGGGCAAGGAGGTAGAAAAAACTGGGACTGAAGTTGAGCCCAGGGAGAGGGGAAGGGTGGGGAAAAGGTGTGCTAAGATTTGGTTCTATTTCTCACTATCCTACTCTGATTTGATTGGTAATAAATAAAGTTGATTTCCCTGAGCCAAATCTGTTTTGCCCACAATAATAGCTGATGAATGACCACCCCCTGTCCTTATCTCAGCCCATGAGCTTTTTGTTTTAATTTTCTCTCCTCTGTCCAGCTGAGGATGGAGAGCGACAGAGCAGCTTGGTGGGCACCTGGTGTCCAGCCAAGGGCAACCCACCACAATTTGACCCTCAGGTCTCAGCCTATCAGAACTGCAACAGTTTTCTATCCCTTGCTACACAGCACTTTCAGATCTTGAAACCTGTCCTTCCCATCAGATCTCTGGATTGAGAGTTCTTTTGAAGATCAAACAAAACACATCTTGCAACCCTGACAACAGCCACTCTAAATGCTCAGAAAGTTAAAAGGTTCATTATCTCAGAAGGTTGGGTTGATTTGCCATAGCTCAAGCAAGACTCACTGTAAGCACTCACAGTAAGCATCCTTCTATCAGATACGTACTTGATTTCAAGACCAGTCAGGAAAATCCAGCTCTGCAAAATGATAACCCCAACAGAGAGAAGAACAAAGAGCATCACCAAGTTGAGAAACCGAGGAAGCAGCAAGCAAAGCAGATCAAAGGCAAAGCAGCATCTCTCTTTACACTTCAGCTCGCAGCACACACCCAATCCAGAAAGCAAACCAGCTTATCGCACACAGCAGTCCCGTGTCAGCCTCTGATCGAGCACACAAAGCTCATTTATAAAAGCACCTCTGCTGAAATCAGCTGGATCACTACTGCTCTGCTGCCCTTCTGCCTGCATGGCAGAAATACCCATGAACATTAAGGCTCAAAAAACCGGAGTACTTTGTACAAAACCACCAAACACGCCCACGAAAAGACGTTACCACCCTATTGTTTTTAACGAGGCTTCTCAGGACTTACCTGGTGCAGAAACCAAGATCTGGCATCGAGTAAGAATAGCCAGGAGGAAATCGTTGTGAGAGTGGACTGTGTAAAGACAGACAGCTTGTTAGCAACACGTCAGCACCCAGAGGCGCCCCCTGAAAGCTCACTATGCCTTGCCACAGTCCTGTTTTCCCCACTGCTCAGCTACACAGGCACACCTTTCAATTTAAGTTTGAGTTTTCTTCTACAAGGCTCAGAACATGCTATAACCATCTTAACAAAAAGGATACTACCCGGGACAGAAAGAAGTTAAGTCACTTCCCCATGTGCCACACGCACAGATCCAGCCCTACAGCACACAGCATGAAATGCTTGGGGTGTTCAGCCAGCCAGGGGAGGATCTGCTGTCCCTCCTGCCATGTAAGCTTCTAGTAGCTGGGCTTTTGGTTTTGCTAGGAAAGGACCTGTAAGAGCCAGCCCCAGGAAGGTGAAGTTATGTCAAATAGGTTCTAAATAAAAAGCTCTTCCTTGCAGAAGGGTTACTGGAACACAGAGTGAGTAACCATGCATTAGAAAGAGTGAAGACAAACTTCACAAGCAGGGTCAGAGGGTTACAGGGTCCTCTTTGTCCTTTGAGCCCAAGCACCAACAAATCCCACAGGGATCATAAACGTGCAAAGCAGGAGCCCTGGCAATGCTCTCAGCAATGCTCACCCGGTTTGCAGACTCGGAGGTGAGGACGAAGGAATCTCACCCTTCAGTGCTCCAACCAGCCACCCCCAAAGGCCAGGAGGGGGATCTGCCTGCTGAAAAATCATCTAGGCCAAGTTGCCTGTCAGTTGTGGGGACACAAAGGGATTTCCCCCTGCTGGCCATGGCACCTCCCATGTTTTTAACTCTTATCACCAGTGGAGCCCTGTCCATTCTTATTTCCCACATAGCAACTTCCCTGCTCGGGAAGCACCGTGCTGAAGGGAGAAGCTTCCCCCTGGCCTGGCAAGGACAAGGCAGCGTTAGAGTCAGCAGGAGAACAAACACAAGACGGCTTTTTACCATTATCTTGCGTGAGAAGCCTGCGTGCTTCCAGGTCAAATTCCTCCTTACTGATCTTTTGCTTGAACCAGAGCTTCAAGTTGGCCCAGTACCTAGAGAAGAGCAGGGAAGGTGCAGACACCGAGCGAAAAGCGTTGTCCCCGAGCCCACCGCTTCCCCCAGCGGTGCAAAGGGGCCGAGGACCAGGCCAGCTCCAAGACAAGGTACAAAGGCCCGGCTCCCTGAAGGCCGGGAGTAGACGAATGGGCCGCGCAGC